TATATACATTAAAGATGTTAAAAGTTAGGAACATAAAATTGATGGTTTTTTTTGGCAACTTTTGTCTACATATTTTCTGAATATCTAAATTGGTCACATTCTTTATTGAAATTGCAGTTTGGTCTTTACTCTGTTCCTATTGGTTGAACTTTTTGACTTCTTGATTTTTTTTTTTTCAAAATCTATCACTGGTACGTGTTATGTTCCTACCTACTCCGATTTCGTCACCCACTAATCTCTTTTGCTTCTCTCCACCGCCTCATGTACTACTCATTTATTTCTTCTGATCGATTTCATCGTTTCATCATAGAAGGTCATCGCTTCATCTCAAAGATCATTCCTCACCACCGGTTGCTTCCCTCTCTTTCTACAACGTCCCTGCATCTCCTTCTTCCATCGTTCTGCTTTCCGTCTTCCATTCAACCTCCACCAACTGATGTTTTATACAGAAGTAGCCCATTTCCCTCCTTTGCTTCCTTACTGTCTTCTCTACCACTCAGTCGATTTGATTGTACTGCTCTTCGAGTTCGTGTCTCATTACACAATGGTTTTTTATCCATAACGGGATCATAATGTTTTTGACTCGATTGAGTTGCTCAAGCGACAAAGGGTTGATTTTTAGATGGATCACCACTATGGGATAAACTACTTCAAGGATTGCGTATCTCACCTGTGTATTGTCTGTATCATGTATCAGGACAACCAAAAGAAGCAAAAGAAATGACATGGCGACTTCTGTGACCCAGTCAGGTATATTAGCATTTGAGTTTATTTTTTTGACATAAAACACCATATTTTTTGCCTGTGTTCTGTCAATTTCTTTTGATATTGAATTAGGAGACAACTATTCATGTAACCGGGGTGATTTTTAGGAAACTTTCATCATGCATTCCGACTGCTCGATAGAATGCTTGAACCAGGTTTCTGATTTTTCTGTCTAAATCTTTTTATCCAAGTTTAGATTTTTTTTTAATTGACAAGTAACTCTACAAGAATCAGATAACCAATCACCAATCAATTGGCTTAAAACCATGAGCCCATGTGAAGTATAATAATCAGATAACCAATCACCGGTCTATAATAATTTTCTTTTTTTGATGTATAAGAATAATGAAAATGTGGTGTTAAATTTTTTAGCCTCTCACAGATGGTTCAGCTAATGGAAATGACAAAATTGGGCCAACGTTCAGGAAAAAATTGATGCCTATCTGGTTTTCATTCCACATCTTCTTGTTATTTACGTTATTCACTTAAGGATTCTAACATTTCAGATTCCATGTTGTTACCTGGTATTTTTTGGTTTTAAATTTTCGCTCGACTTATTTGCTTCCATTTATAAGCATTTTGTGTTCAGTTCGTTTTAGCTACACTTGGAGTTTGTTGCCTCTAAAGAATTCACTTACAACCTTGTTGTAACGTCGTGAACACTGTTGTAAAGCTCGCTAAGTTTGCCGATTACCCCTCCGAGTACTTGCTAATCGGTCATTTACCGAGGCGAGTTACAGAACCGAGTACTCCCCGATCGGCCCCTTACTGAACTGAGCAGTGTTGTAAAACCTGATCAACTCAGTGATTAATATATATAATATACTTAACGATTTATTATTTAACACACATACATGTGATTATTACTACATATATATCTTAACTTTTTAGTAATTATTCACGAAGTGAGACCATTATGTGTTTTTCAGTTTTTGTGTATTCACATGTATCTAATTTTGTTATATATTTCAATCAACTTATAATTTTAATTATGATTTTGACATATATAAGTTCTCTAAAAATATTTGTACATGAATTACCGGATACGAGTACTCCCTAAGTCCCTAAGTACTCCTGAGTACTCGCTACTCGGTAGTCGGCCGAACAGGTACCGATTAACGAGTTCTATAACCTTGGTTGTGAATTTCACCATAATTTTTTTTTTAAATATTTATTCAACAGAATACGTTAGCGGAAGACTTAGTTTTTAATTCAAAACATTTTCAAAACCGCAACGTTACTTCAAAAATTCAAACATAATTCCAAACCATTTAAAATGTAAACAAAAGTACTTTAAAGTAAATAACCAAAACCGTGTCCAAGACTGGTATCGTTACTATAAAACTACTACCCATAAGAACCCCTCTCACCAAGGTCAATCTTCTAAACTGCATGCACCGATCATAAGGCACAAAAGAGAAAAGATACAAGTGTCAGCCCCTGCTGAGTGAGTTCATAAAGTTGCATATAAAACATACAAACCCCAAATGGGTCAATCATTCATTTTACGATGAAGCATAAAAATGATTGACAAATAACAGATAGCAAACAACCACGTATCATAATTATTCAATCACATATTCAACCGCAATTCTACCACATACCTTATATGATCAGCCAAATACCATATAAACAACCGCATAACATATAAATAATCACATTTCATGTAAAAACATTTCATTATTTATTCAACCTTCAATTATATAACCAACCAAATAGCGAACAACGTTGAACCATTTACATCATATTTAATTTCAACCATTTACAGTACAACATTTCACCATATCATTTAATTTCAATTCAACCAAATATAGTTATCAACTTAATTCAACCGTTTATTACATATAAATCAATTCACCGTTTATTATATGTAATTTCTTTCAATAATATTAAAGCTCAATTCAACCGATTATAGTTATTACCTTAAAACCACCGATTATTACATATAATTTAATTCACCGTTTATTATACGCAATGGCTATCAACCGATTATCATATACAAGTTCAATTCAACCGATTATTGTATATATTCACATTTCAACCAATTATCTACTTTGGGGTTTTCTTAGTGATAGCCTAACCAACAACTTAACCCCGTTCATTACTCGTGTGCTCAGCCAGTTTAGTACTCTAAGTGGCTCATGACTTCCACTTGAATT